CTGGGCCCACAGGGACCTGGGTTTTTAAAACCAAAATAGCAGGAACGTTGTCTCATTATTTAGACTTGTCCCAGGGTACTCACCATGGGTAGTACTTCCTCCTAGCTGCGCTGGAGAACAGCTCTCTTCCAAGTCTAACAGCTGCCCTGGCGGGCTCTCAACGCACTGTCCTCCTGCTTACCCCCTCTCTCACTTCAAGGGCTTCAGCTTTATCTTTGTAACTCGTCCCTCCAGCCAAACTATGTGGTTTCTCCTTCCAGGCTATAAAGTCTTACTGGACCTGTTGTTCCCAACCTTTCCAGACTACCGTACCCCTTTCAGGAGGCTGATTCGTCTCACGTACCCCAAGTTTCACCTCACTTAAAAACTACTTGCTTACAAAATCAGACATAAAATACAAAAGTGTCACAGGACCCGATTACTGAAAAATTGCTTACTTTCTCTTTTTTTTTTAACCATATAATTATAAAATCAATTGGAATATAAATATTGTACTTCCATGTCACTGTGATACCTGAGCGTGTTTTTCACTTGTGAGCCTTGTCTGAAGCCTGAGCCGCAGGTGGTGGAGCTGAAGCATGTAACTTAGTTTTGCGGGGGCCCCCTGTGGCGTGGGGACCCAGACAACTGCCCTGCTTGGCACCCCCTAATGCCAGCTCTGCACTTGCAATCCCCCTAAACCCATCACATGACCTCCCTGGGCACTGAAACTCCCAGGTTGAGAAACCCCATTCTAGATGAGTTGAGTACACTCTGGAAGAACTCTGCATACCAGCAGGTTGAGAACCACTAGTCCAGGCTACGCCACTCCATCACTGGCGGGTAGGGGAACCCAGGGCCACCTCCTACTCCACATTCAGCCCAGGGACCCTGAAACACCCAGCCAAGGTCTGCTCAGTCCCCAACCTTGCTGCTCTCTCCCTTGCCTGCTGTCTACGCCACCTCCCACCTGGGTTGCCAACCCTTCAGGATTGTCCTGGAGTCTCCAGGAATTAAAGCTTAATCTTTAATTAAAGACTATGTCATGTGATGAAACCTCCAGGAATATGTCCAACCAAAATTGGCAACTCTACCTCCCACAGACTTTCTTCTCTACCCTGCTCTCTCCTGGGTATGCCCTTCACGAGGGCCATGCTCCCAGGGGCTCTATTCTTTCCCTGGGTGCCCTCCTGCCTTCTCTAATGCAGACGAGGATGGTGACAGACTTCCTCACTGCAGCCATTGCCGTTGCCAGCCCACACCTGCTCAGCTGAGCATCAGCTTTGGCTCAGGAGTTGCTTCTACGGCCTAATCCCCTCATGTGTGGCCGATCACACTAACTGGCTCTTCCTTCACCCTTTCAGGGCTGGTGTGGGTGGATACCCCATCACACTTGTGCTTATGCAAGTTCAGCAGTTCTGGGCTTTACTACCCAAGTCTGTTGCTCGGAGAGGTACACATGATTTGCCATACCAGACCACTGAACCATCAAGTCTGAAATGCCCCCTCTTGGCCAGGATTGTCCTCGAGTCTCCAGGCATTAAAGATTAATCTTTAATTAAAGATTATGTCATGTGATGAAACCTCCAGGAAAACATCCAACCAAAACTGGCAACCCTACGGCCTCTGGGGTGATATCCTGACACCACTGAAATCAATGGGAGTTTTGCCACTGATGTCAGTGGGGCCAGGATTTCACCCCTGCTTCACAAGGGGTAGGGATGCATAAATGCAGGGTGCGTTTGGAAAGTCACTTGTTATTTGGGGAAAATAGTTTTAAGCAGCTGATCTCGCTGGGCAAATCCTCTATCAAAAATGAATATTAGTAGGTCTGCCTTAGAAGAGTCTGAATCACTGCAAGGAGGCCTCCCCTATGGAGGCTGCCCACGCACAAGAGGTGACCTCAGCTGGTCTCAGATTTAAAGTCTACAGTTTGCCCTCGAGGCTACAGGCTGCCCCACTTCCACATGCTTATCAGCTGTAGTGCTGGCTCTTTTCCTTCTGCTTCATCAAGCAAAAAAGCCCATGAAAGCCCCTCAGCACCGAGCAGATTTCCTCCTTTTAACAATCTGCTTCTGCTATAGAGAGGAGGGGGTTTTGTTCACTAAAGCCTGCTTTGCAGTAGATAAGAGAAGTGAGCAGTTAAATCTTAATAAATCATCTCTTCCCATTCACAAGTGACAGAAAACACCTTGATCAGCTGTTATCCATCTCGCCCCTCCCCACTAGAGCGCAGTAGTAAGCTAAACTCAGAGGTGAAAGTAAGCCGGTATGGTACGGTACGGCGTACCGGCAAGAGCCAGTACACCGTGCTGGACCGCACCGGCTTCCGCGGCAGGGATTTAAAGGGCTCTGGGCTCCCCGCCACTGCAGGGAGCCCCGCGCCCTTTAAATCCCGCCCACAGCTCCGGCAGCCAGGCTGGGGCCAGGATTTAAAGGGCTCAGAGCTCCCACAGCTGCGGGGAGCCCAGAGCCCTTTAAATCCTGCCCGCAGCTCCGGCAGCCAGGCTAGGGCTGGGTTTAAAGGGCTCAGAGCTCCCCACCGCAGCGGGGAGCCCAGAGCCCTTTGAATCTTGAGAGGCCCTGCCTCTTCCGGTTGAAGCCACGCCTCTTCTGGATGAGGCCACGCCCCCTCAGGACTCCAGCAGTACCGGTAAATCCTGTAAATTACTTTCACCCCTGGCTAAACTAGAGATATTATAGGCACTTGTGGGCACTGCACAATGGAAGATAGTAGCCTAGATGGCTCAATGGTGTGATCTGCCATTCAAATCCCTGTGAGGGAGAGATTAGTTCAAAACACCTCTCACTAAGTAATGGGGTTTTTTTGGGAGGGAAAAAAGTCACTGGGAAGAGCTCAAATTGAGGCGGTAGAATCCAATCCCTGCAGCTACAGGAGCACAGTGTGTGAAATGCAACATTCATTGTTCCCCGTTGTATCTGCAGATAGCTACCGCAGAAGATGGAAATGTGTCTCTCTCACAGCCTGTCTCTAACACTTTACATATTCCAGATAAAAACATTATCACGCTATCGGTCCTGGCACAGTGGAATAAATATCACGTTACAGGGTATTAATGGCCAAAGTCTCTCCACACTGCACCAAGCATTAGAGCAGGGAGAACTCATAGGGTGTCTACATTGCAATAAAAATCCCATGGCACCAACGCTGAGGCCAGGCAGCTGACTCTGGCTCGAGTGGCTCCAGCTGCAGGGCTAAAAATAGCAGTGTAGCTGTTCAGGCTCGAGCTGGAGCCCAGCTCTGACACCTCATGAGGGGGATGGGTCTCAGAGCCCAAGCCCGAGCCCGAACAGCTACACTGCTATTTTTAGCCCCGCAGCCCGAGCCTCACGAGCCCACGTCAGCTGACTCTGGCCAGCTGTGGCCATGCCACAAATTTTTATAGCAGTGCAGACACACCCATAAGGGTCAGAACGGCTTCCTGTTGCACACAGAGCACCTTGGGTTGCACGGGTTCTTTACACAACTCACAACCTGTAGAACTCTTTGTCAGGGGTTGTTGTGAAGGCCAAAACTATAACAGGGTTCAAAGAAAGAACTAGAGAAGTTCCTGAAGGATAGGTCCATCAGTGGCTATTAGCCAGGATGGGCAGGGATGCAACACCATGCTTTGAGTGTCCCTAGCCTCTGTTTTGCCAGAAGCTGGGAGTGGACAACAGGGGATGGATCACTTGATGATTTCCTGTTCTGTTCATTCCCTCTGAAGCACCTGGCATTGGCCACTGCCGGAAGACAGGATATTGGGCTAGATGGACCATTGGTCTGACCCAGAATGGCCGTTCTTATGTTCTAGGGGGTCTCTGCAGCTGTTCTCTTCAACACCCCCTGCAAAGGATCCACCAATCTCTCCCTCACTCAGCCACCAGCCTGCTTCCCCCTTGCACTACCCTACTCTGTGGGGACAAAGGTAGGACCCATGAAGCTACATCCTGTGCCAGCATGAGCACCTAAATCCTGCCCTTGCCCCCTCTACAGCATAACCACAACTGTCCTGCTAACATCAGCACTCTATGGCCCTGGGTGGGGACAGTTGTGACATGTGCTGTACATGCAGCATTTCCAAACAAAGAAATGTTCGCGTGGCGAAGAAGAGCAGGGCTAGGAGAAATGCGAGTTTTTATTCCAACATTTTTTTAAACAGTTTCTTTTCTTGTTTCAAGATCTCCTGTTTCATTTATTGTATTTAATAGTACCTAGCCCAGAATGAATCCTAATTGATTACAATGCAGGTTTTATTAGGAGAGTTCATTTTAAATGCATAGATTATCATTGTCCAACTGGTAAATATTCAAAACATTTGTTCTGTAATCACATCATTTTTGCAAAGATCACAACTGAATTAACTGTTAAATATTTATATTACAATAGCACCCAAAGGGTCTAAATGGAACTGGGGTCCCATTGGACTGGGTGCTGTACAAACACAGCCAAAGACAAGCTCCTGTCTAGAAGAGCTTACAATCTAACAAATCTCTTTTAATGTTTCTGTTGAAAGGCACTTTCAAATATATGTATAATGCAACAAGGATCACATTAATTATTGTGCATTTTAAGTGTAGTTGTAGGACTACATTTTAGGAATGTGACCCAAAGCCCACTGAAGTGAATTGGAACCTTTCCATTTACTTCAATGAGTTCAGGGCAGGGGTTCTCAAACTGTGGGTGGGGAACCCACAGTGGGTCACAACCCCATTTTAATGGGGTTGCCAAGGCTGGTGTTGGCCCTGGGCCCCAGCAAGTCTGAAGCCTAAGCCTAAGCCCCACCGCCAGGGGCTGAAGCCAAAACCCGAGCCCCACCCCCCAGGGCTAAGGTTACATTCCCTCGCCCAGGGCAGAAGCCCTTAGGCTTCAGCTTTGGCCTCCCTGCCCAGGGCAGCGGGGCTCAGTCTTCGATCCCCGCTCCTGGGGTCGTGTAGTAATTTTTGTTGTCAGAAGGGGGTCATGGTGCAATGAAGTTTGAGAACCGCTGGTTTAGGGCATTTAGGATCCGGTCCAAGGCCATTTGTGAAAACATTATCTAATATCTGTTCATACCTGTTCGATCACACTAATCAAGCTACTCAAAATACGTTTCTATTGTCATTAAATTTATTCCTTCCCCTTAGTAGCAGCATATTTAAGAATTCAAGGGGAAAAATCCAGGTAATTGTGGTTAAAGAAATTAGTCCTGCTATCCAAATATCAGGTCAGTTAGATATGTCCCTCCAGTAGCTGTATACATTCCAAAGTACTGTACCGGGCCATAAACTTCATTATTCCTGCACCAAGATTCCCCATTACATGGTGCCACTTCTGGAGGAATAGAAGTTACAGCCAGTATTTTCAATAATGACTAGTGATTTAGGACATCACTGTTGGGTGCCCAACTCAAGGTACCTTATAAAAAGAGTAATTTTCCTAAAGTGCAGAGACCCTCCTCCCACTGAAAAATAATTTGTTTATAAAGCCCGCCCTGCAAAGCAATCTAGGTGTTGAACAATCAAACAATTTCTCATTACAAATTAAAAGAACATTCTGACCTCAAGAAAATTACAAACAAAGCAGGTAAACAAAAAACTATAAGAACAGAGAAGGTGTTTCATACCGGGCAACCAAAATCACTAATCTCTTTGAAAAGCCTGACCTACAATTTAGGATAATTTCAACAAGAATTATGAGATCTAGTCACTAAACATTTGTCTTTCCCAAAACAAACAAAAAAGAAAGCCACCGGGAGGAAATAACCCCTTAATCCTCCAAATGCTGAAATATACAGGAATGTATGGAGATGAGAGAATGAGGCCAGTAGCTAACTTTAGCTGCCTTGTCTGAAGTTGTGAATTTGTGTGGAGTATTTTTTTAGTTGTTCATCGTGTTCCTCATCACCGTGTTGCTGTTGGTAATGCTGGTACAGTTTGGAGCCATTGGATGCCCCAGTTCCTTCTACAGATGGAAGGTGCCCACTGGACATATGAAGTATGGTGGAAGTCAGTGATTTAATGTAATTTTTGGCTAGCGTGAGAGTCTCAATTTTAGAAAGCTTATTCTCAGCTCTCACATGAGGGATAACCTCCCGCAAGGCCTGGAATGCATTATTGAGCTTGTGCATTCTCTGCCTCTCCCGTTCATTGCTTTCCAATCGCCTTAAGTGTCTGTCTTTGTTGTTCCAAGCATGCTTGGCTTTGACTGTACCAGTCTTGCTACTCTCATTGTTTTCGCCATTTCTCCTTTCTTTGCGTCGCAAACATTTCACCGGTTCCTCTTTGCTCAAAGTTGTCTCCCCAGGAAAGGCTTCTTTGTCAACAGCAAGCCTGTGCTTTGTTCTTTTGCTTTTGGTCTTCATGTTTCAGTAGATGATGGGGAAATGTCACCCAGCCTGTTCTCCCACTAAGTTAATCTTCTGGTACTAGCCATCAACATGCTGCAAAAACATAAACATCAACATCTTCAGCTGTCGTTACGTTTCATACAGAACAAATGGAAAGTCATTGTGCTGTTTCGCTTTGTACCAGCATCTACCTGCACAATACTGTGAAACTACCAGCTGGATCTTTTATTTATTAATATATGTTTTAGTGATTGTTAACGTCAGCCCATCTGGGCTCTGTGGATGGAAGCAGGGCCCCTGGAGAGGATCCTCTTAACCACAGCGCGTGGGCGGTGGTAGTGGTGATGTATTTGCATCTTGATTCAGGCATGTTAGTGGGACTGGGGGGGTGAGGGGAAGAGGGAGGGAGCCTGTTACTACATCTGCTCATAATGTACTTGCTTTGGATTTCAGTCTCCAACTGGCAACATTCGTTGTCTCATTTGTCTGATTCAGTTGGCCTCTGTTTGTGGCCCCTCCCCTCTAACTGAAGGAGAAGCCACTGTAGTTCTCTGTGGCAAGATCCTCTCCGGGTTCATTCAGTCCTTGGCCTCTCTGCTGAGAATGCCAGTGAGCATGCTAAAACTGGAGCCAAATGAGTGTTTGACGTGGGTTCCTGTCCACTAGAGCCTGGTGGCTTTCAATCCAGTTCCATTTCACATATGCCACAGGCCAACTGAAATGATTACAATGTGACAATGCTTATAACCACAGTGTAAGGCATTTCAAGGCAGATGGACGGTGGAAACATTTGGCCAAGTTCTCCTCTTGCCTACAATGGTATCACTAGTTTAAGTGAGAGAAGATTTTGGTCTGTCATGAGCAACTAGAAACAGAACAATATATAAAAAAAAAGTGACTGCAAACATTGGTGAGCCAAGTCTGTTCCTTTAAGCAAGAGCTGTCCTGACAGAAAACAGGAAGGGATTTAAAGGCTGGAGTGAGATTTAGCGTTTCCAGTTTAGAGATCTCAACAGCGAAAAGAGGTCTTTGGCGTCAGCAAACCAGAAAGTGAGAAGCACGACAGGAGCATGACTGTCAGTAAAGGCTTAGTTATAAACTCCCTTTCCTCCCAGCTCCTGGCACCCATTCCTTATGACCTGAATCACATCCATGTGCAGTTAACATCACGCACGCACACAGAAGCGGTTTGGGACTAGAAACCTGGATATCCAGCTCCAAATAAGGCAAGTCTCTTCCACTGGAGCTAAAGAAAAACTTGTGAGAGTAGGAGGTCCTGTTTGTGGGCAGCATCACACACTCACATCGCAAAGTCAACACATTATGATTATCACTTCAAAAGTTTTTTTTCTCTTACTTAATTGGCCTCTCAGAGTTGGTAAGACAACTCCCACCTGTTCATGCTCTCTGTATGTGTGTGTATATATATATCTTCTCAATATATGTTTCACTCTATATGCATCCGAAGAAGTGGGTTGTAGCCCACGAAAGCTTATGCTCTAATAAATTTGTTAGTCTCTAAGGTGCCACAAGTACTCCTGTTCTTTCAACACATTATGCTGTCCTCTGAATGCCCCCTTTCTCTTTTCCCCCATTCCTTTGAGTGCTGCTCTCTTGCTTCATCTCACAGCTCTCCCAACTTCACCATATGCCTCCCACCTTCTCTCAGTGCCATCCAGGCAACTTTTAGGAGCCATTAACTCAAATTTTTATTCATTTCTCATTCACAAGCCAATGCCCTCCTATTTGTCATTTGCTTTTAGTCTCGCCTTTAAAATGCCAGCTGTGTCAGCTTTGTCCACAACTGGTGGAAGGCTCAGACTGCTCCTCCTCATTAATGGTCTTCCCAGCTCTCTTCCAGGGACACCACCTTGCTATTATGGACTGTTGCATTTAGAGGAGGAAGGCTGGCTGTTATCAGCACCCACAGTATGGTGCAGCAACAGCAGAGTTCCTGCTGCACAGTGAAGACTGGCATGCTGGCAGCTGTAACTCCTCCTGCACTGATAGTAGCAGTGCAGGAGGGGGAGTGGGTTGCAGCCGTTCTTCTTTCACCAGCTAATGGCACGGGTACAACAGTTTCAACACCCAGCAGAACAGCAATTTCTACACCTCCCAAGTCAATAATCTAGCCAACACTGGCAGCATGGCAGAGTCTATTCTTCCTGTGCCACGGGACAGGGCACCTGCACAGGTGCAGCAATGCCCCTTCCTTCCAGGCTGATAAGCCATAAGAGAGTGATGCAGCAGCACCCCTACCTCCACTCTGTGCCAATGCTTGGTACAATGGCAGCCATCTGGCAGCAGCCCTCCTTGTGCTGGTGATTGGTATTAATGGGGGGGGGGTCCATTTACTCCCCTTAGTTCCAGTCTTAGAAAATATTTCTGGTGATGCACTGAAATGCGAGTGGCTGGAGAGTCGGACTGCTGTTAGAGACTAGCCACAGAGCTTAACTCTCCTCCTGGAAGGACAGGAGAGGTGCACCACCACTCCACATCACCACCTCTTGCAGTAGAGGGTAAAACCGATTGAGGATGCTGGGAAAACCGACATCACTGCCACCACCTAGGAACATCCTCAGCTGCTCCCTTCTCCGTGTTCACGGCATTCCAGCGGCACTGTGCCAGCTACTCTGGCCATTCTTGGGGTTCATACCTCATCACAGGGTACTCAGGTTTCCCGGCAGAGGACCTATGCTCACCTCACAAAATGGTTTGATTAGGGGGCCTCCAGCCCAAGGCTGCCGGGGAGCAAGACAGGACTGCAGCTTAGGTTTAACCCACGAGCCCCACACCATGCTGCCTGAGAGCCATGGGCGCCTAAGGAAAACAGCTGGGAGACAGGGCTGATACCGGGGAAAAGAAAAACCAAAGCCAGGCCAGGAGAAACCTTGGAGCTTCTCTCTCTGTAGGAGAGATGGCAAATCAGAAGTAGCATGGAACAGTGCAAACAAGCACCAAGGAGAGCAGCCAAATCCCTGCCTCCCGTGCAGAAGGCACTGCCACTGGGAAAGCAACCAGCTGCTCCGTGACAGATATCCACCTTCCTGGCCTGGGGGTGGCAGTCAGCAGAGGAAAGGGGGGAGCTCCTAGGAGAAGAGGATTTGGCAGATTAAGGGGAGCACGGAGCCTGGTAGAACCAGTAGACTAAGGACAGCAGGTGACAATAGGGTAGGTGAAGTGGCTTGGGGGAAGGTTGCTTTCAAATACAGCTACACACCCCAGACTCATCTGCTACCCACCCCCCAAAAATCTCCCCCTTCCCCCATCCTATAGCCCACAGTCCTATAGTGTAACTGGACAGGGTCGGGAGACAGTGGGGATGAGGGAGAGTCCTGGCGGGAGTTTGGGGTCTGCAAGGGGCTGGGGCAGCTAGAGCAGAAGGGGCTTGGGGGGTAGGAGGCCGGTAGAGGAGGGGAGGCCGGGGGTGGCATTCAGAGCTCGCAGAGCGGGAGGAGAGGCGAAGGCTAGCGAGGGAGCAAGCGGGCAGGGAGAGGAGGAACTCGGGGCAGCGGGGGAAGGAGCAAACAGCCTGGAGGGAAGGCACAGGAGAGAGCGAGCGGAGGAAAGACCTCCCGAGGGCGGAGGGGGGCCGTGTGAGGGAGCCCGCAGGAGGGACTGGAGCCCCAGGGGAGGGCTCCAGGGGGCAGGCGGTGGGCACAGCGGGGTTGGAGCGGTCAGTGCAATTTCAGACAGCGGGAGCCCTTCCCTAGCCCACCGCCCCGGGAGCCTGGTGCCCGGCACGCGTACCTGGGAGCCGGCGTGGAGGGCGGGACGCCGTGCCCAGGAGAAGGGCCGCCGGGCGAGCAGCGCGGCAGGTGGCTGAGGCGCGTGTGACCGCAGCCTGCCCGCCCGGCGGGCCTGGGACACGTCGCTTTAGTGCCGGAGCCAGCGGGAGGCGGAGCCTGGCGCAGCGGGAGCTTCCATGCAAATCCGCAATTGGGGGGTCGCGGCGGATCGAGGTTCCCCTGCTAGCGGCTCCGCGGCACCTGCACGGGGGCAGAGCCGGCACCGTAGAGCCGCGGGGCAGGTGGTTGTTTCCACTGGGCAGCGCGGTGAGAACGTGGGTCCTTATCGCGCGGGCGGTGCCGCCCGCTCCTGCAGCACAAAGGGCGGCATTGTGCGGCCCAATTTAAGCGTGAGATTCCCCTCCCGCCCCAGTGAATAAAAGCCAGTGTGTGCAAGATGTTGGAGAACTTGTTCCAACACAGGTTAAGCCATATGAAAATAAGAGCCCGGGAAAGCTGCCCACGTCAGTGCAGCACGGGGCTCTCTGCCTGCAAACAGTGTGTGTCAGTTCACCAGAGGACAGCTTCAGCTTGCAAACTCAATGTTCCCAAATTTCGGAGGGTTTTTTTTTAATTGTTATTATTAAAAGACGAGCTCGGCTTTGTGCGGCAATGCCATCTGGTTTTGGATGGGTCAGTATTCTGGGAGACTTCCAGTTCAATACCAAGGTGCTGCACGTGGGACTGGTGATTCAACAGGCAGAAACTCTTCCCTCAAAGTCAGTACTGGACCAATGCTCCAACACGATGGTAGTTGGCATTGTGCTGATAGAGCCTTCCAGACAGAGCACAGATAATGAGGTCATCATGGCTACTTGTCATTAAAGAGGAACAGGCTTGGCAAGCTGGTCACTTGACCACTCTAATCATGTCAATTAACTTATTTGTCCGTGATTAAATATAGTCCAGTGTTCCCATAAGAATTCCCTGATGTAGGTGGTGGCCTATCTTTTTGATTGCATCATGGTACTATTCCATCATTTTTTTAAGGACAATTTGTTTTGCATTTTTCTGAATTAAAATAACTGTTAACCAACTTGTTTTTTTATAATTAGGCATAAGAATCTAAGGCTAAGCCTACTGAAGGCCATAAAGTCTTACTCTTTTTTTGTTACTGTTCTAAGAAGTTACTGCTTTAAAATATTTGACCATTTTTGACATTTGACAATATTTGACTGGTCAAATACCCAGCCCTAGAGAGGAAGGATGGGTGAGTGATAGGGCACTACTGGGACTTCACAGAACTGGGTTCAATTCCCTATTCCACTACAAACTAACAACTTGGGCAAGTCACCTAGGCTCTCTGTGCTACAATTTACCATTTATAAAATGCAGCGAATAGCACTTCCCTATTTCACAATAGTGTTGTAGACTGTGAGGTTGTAGTGTTGTAGACAAGACTGTGAGGTGTTCAGACACTATGGTGACAGGGACCATGAGATATGAAAGTGATAAAAGTGCCATGGGATCTTTAAGAGCTGTGGAAAAAGCTCCCATGTCCTAGTCAAATTTCAACTTGAGCGATTATATTTTGCCTATTTAAAGTTCCTACTGTGATTTAAGTTGAAGCATCTGTTTGTTAAAATCCATGGAAGGAAATTTAAGTTGTAACTGTGCAGTTTTTTTCCATTTCTTAAAAGCAGATACCAAAAGATTAATATATTCCATTGTATAGTGTAACCAAAGTTTTTTGTTTTCTGAAGGCTAGAATTGAAAGCATTTATTTTTAAATCTTTAAATGCATTTTAGGATCATGACAATGCAAAAGGTGAAAACTAGGGTGACCAGATAGCAACTGTGAAAAAACAGGACAGGGAGTGGAGGGTAATAGGCACCTATATAAGAAAAAGTCCCCCAAAACAGGACTGTCCCTATAAAAATGGGACATCTGGTCACCCTAATGAAAACAGAATTATTTCTATTTATTGTGCACTTGGGGGTAGTTTTGTCACTTCCTAAACTTAAGACAGGAACACAAGTAGTGGAATTAATAGCACAGCAACCGTTTATCATCTTAACTCTACAAAATCTATACTGCTGTTCACTAAATATATGCTACAAATTCTGAAATTTTATAATTTTGTGCCAAATTCATCCTCACTAAAATTCCATTTCAGTTGCATTTTTTAAAAGTACAAATGTTATAATAATGGATTTCTTGTTAGTAGCTAATTACGTCACCTGTTTTTAAATATGTTCACCTGTTCAATATGTTCACAAGTTTCTTGCACTGTTTCTATTTTTCAGTGTTAGTTTCTTGCATGTTTTTAGGCCCAGGCATAAAGAAATTGTCTTATTACTGAAGGATTTTTGAGCACTTCATTTACATTATTTTTTTCATTTTAAAATATTTTCCATCATCATCTAAACCAGGAAAACAGGAGCTCAGAGGTTTATACCAATGCCACTTACCCAGTTAATTGTCTGTAAAGGGAGGAATGATATGCAACCTCTTCACAACGAGACAGCAAGTATGCCAGTTCTACTGAGACCTCCTTATGCCAAAGAGCAGGAATCCATGCCTACTACATGACAATAGCAGGGTTCGTTTTGTTTATATAAAGACATTCACATTCATGTGTAGTGTCTATTAAACCTCACATAATTATGGCAAAACCCACTGATGATTTCAGATGCTAACACATTTCAACAAATTTTCATTTGAAAGATATTACTACAAATTAAATCTATACTGTACTTTTTAAACAGTGCTTCTCTGTAGAGGGTATGTGTTATGCGATGTGATGTTCAAATGATGGTGACACATACTAGCAGAAGAGCTCAGGGATCTAAAATACACCCTCTCACATAGGTTTTGTTGTGTTGTGTAGGTTGAAGGGTCTGGGGCTTCAGGCACCTGGGGTAGAATAGATGCTGCCCAGTTCCTCGCTTATGAGCACATTGATTTCACTCCCAAAAGTAGTCCCATTCACTTCACTGAAACGAAGAGCTGAACAAGTACCAGAAATGAGTTGGGCTAAGAATAAACGAACACAGACACGAAGGTTATAAATATATAACTGTATTTTATTTTTGAATATTAAATAGTGTTTTTAAATTACAAGCAATTTATTGAATCACACTATGCATGATAATCAATATACAGTAGAAATATTACAATTTAAAAATGTACACAATTGCAAGACGATTTGACCTGAAATTTCATTAACTATGATGTATTGCCAAAAACCTCATACCTGTATTAAATTACAATAGGAAAACTTCATACCTATGATTTTGTTACATAGCTTCTCATTTACAAATTGAATTAAACATTGTATATACACATCAGTACCATTTATCATTAAATTACACCTATGACTGTGCAAGTTCAAACAATTTAATAAAACTAATAATTTTAAGTCATATTCAAGTTTATCTGAAAAACAGGCTGCTGGTATCACAAATACTTATTTTCAATATATTTATATGCTCTTGTACTCTCTAGATTTTTTCATATCAAAGACTTGAACCAAAACTTATTAATATTTAAGGAGATTTTTGTATGACTTAAAGCTGAAGTAATTTTGTACACTCCATTCTTATTTTAAGGCTATTTCTTATAAGGCTAATATACTTTGATTCCACCTTTCACTAAATCCAACAAATAGCCATGTCACTAACACCTGACTTACCACTGAAATTTTAGCATAGTGCTTAATAGTTAAAAAAAAACACAAGTATTTCCCTACCAACCAGCCCCTCATGAAAAAAGATTCAATACTACATATAAATGTATTACTTAAAATACTGATAAAAGAAAGAGGCTTGAATGGCTTTCATTAGTGCATCACCAAGGATATGAAAAAGTGTTCAATCTGTTCGTTTCCATGGAAATGGCAGTTTACAACATATAGCTGAAAAGTTAGGGACTTGGGAAGGTACAGGTGTTTCAAATAAAAAAATTGACTTTCTTCTCACTTTATTGGCCTCTCACTGTGTGACCTAGTCACATTTTCTCACCAAGAAATTTTTAAAATCATGTTATCAGCTTCCATTTTAGACTGTAGATGGGATCTTTTTTGTAAGATATTTAAGTAGCCATATTAAGATAATGCCTTTTAGCATTTAAATAAATAATCAAGATCTTCTATTACGGAAGAAACTAAAATGGAATCAACCCTCATAATAAACCATTGAAAAAACATAAGTATTTCTAAAACTGAAACCACTTGGATAAGCAGTGCAAGAGATTACAGAATGTAATGTATGGCCTATTTGACAAATCACCTCAACTTGATTTCAGCTACTCCACAAATTTGCCTTCCTTGCATAATTCATTTCTGGAAGATGGTTTACCACTTGAACACGGTAGTAGTTTGTAATAAAATTTAACGACATATATTTAAAAAAAAAATATTACAATTTTAATCTAGTGAACTGGATTAATGAAATTAATATCCACTGAGATTACGGAAGTGTGGCAATTCAGATATAATTGAACAGATATAACAATGATTTTTCTCTGTAATATTGCTAAAGAAGCACATTACTTTGTATAACATCCCACACACACAAATCCCATTTTGAACAAAAAATGTCTGTTTGGCAATTCATTAGCAAACAGTCCACTTGGACACAGGAGCAAACTTTCATTGTTACGTAAGGTTTTAAGACATGGTACTCTTACTAAAGAGAATGACTAACGCCCCACCAACTGAGGAGAATCCTGATGTGTTGAATACAAGGTTAAATACTACCCAGCTGCACAAGATCTGTTCCATAATCTAAATTTCTGAAGTTACAACAGGAACAAAAGTGAAGCTGCATCTCAATATCCCAGTCAAACTATATTAGCTTTTATTTAACCTCAGAAACTATGTTCAAAATCAAGAGATTCAGAATTAAGGCTGAAACTCCTTCTCTAACCCTGTGATACTTTAGGTGTTTCAGCACATCTAAGGTAGACAATTCCATACATTCTTTGGAGACTCAGCATGTGGAGTTTCATTCTTAATTTTGGATTTCCCTGCTTTTTTATTTATGGTAATATAAAAGTGTTACAGAAAAATTCAAGGATTGATGAGACACCTTAACCTGGTGTGTGTTTAAGGAATTTTAAAAGTCTGTATTCCAGAACTAATAGGATATAATGTTTAGTGTGCCAAGGTCTATTGTTTATATTTTAATATGTACAAAGAGCATACCACGTAATAGCTCCTTTAAACCCATTACAGTATATACTGTAAGTGTATATTTAGAACTGGCTTTGCATTTAAAGATATGTTGAAAAATTCTATGAAAAGTTGTTGCTGTGCATGTGCAACGGCAAATTTCTATGATGTTACTCACACTGAAATACAACTCTCCCTGTGACTCTCAGGTTCCCTCTGGACCTGAGCTCCTCAGTAGGACAACTCAGTACCTCAGCAATACACTGACAACTTTAAAGCATTTTATTTTAGAATTAATCTCTTTCCCTTGAGGGGTATGAAAGCCATTCTAGCTGTAAGGGCCAAATAACTGTTTATATAAAAAAAAAAAAAAAAAAACCCACTTTTCTACTTTTTTGTATTTGTGTCACTTAAAACCAATGCCCTGTTTTAAACCAAACTGTGTATAAAATAAAATTGTAACATCAAACAGAGCTTAACAGCTAAAAACATGTAGTTCTTTATGCTGCAGATGATTACAATTCTTAGCTTTCTGTACCCAGACTTATTCAGCAGAAAGACTAGTCCTATACTAAAGCAGAGTAAAAAATATTTATGCCACTAAGCTGCAGTATGCTGTACAGCCAGATAGAAGGGTTGACCACAAAGCACTAAATGCCAGCATTTTTCAGCTTTTTCCAATCTAGTCCCACATTTGCGGCTGCATAATGCATTTCACAGGCGAAGGAATTACTGCCCAACTGTATTTAGTGAGACAATGAGGGAACTTGTTAGACAACTTATTTAAAGGATTAATTAAAACTAGCTGGATTTGTGATAGTTTTCTCTCTCCACATTCACTTCACTTGGACAGCTTAATGGCAAGCTTTACTATCTTACATCTTTGGGTCAGTGCACATTTCAAGCAGCACCATGGAGCCCTGACTATGTCTTAATACAGGCCTGGACAGTTCTCTGGGTGACAAAATATGAATGCCAGTTTTCTACTAGTTTAGAAGCAGACTATTAGCATGCTTAAATCCCCAGTTGTTAATCCTAATACTAAATAGTTTTTGCAGTAATTGAGATAGGGGGATATACAGGTTTCTGAACGGGAAGGAGGCATGGAAGGCCCAATCCATAGTCAAAAGAAAATAATTTGGGCTTCAGAATCCATAGGATGAACAAGTGAGCAGCCAGGTAGGCCTGATGGGTCCATTTTTATTAAAATTAATCTTTCTACAAGATACCCAGTTTCAATGCAAGTTTTCAGGGCCAGCATATATACCTCCCTCCCTCCAAAAGTAGGCAGTTTTAATGGAATGCAGAAAGGCCATCAAATATGACTACATAGGAAGGTGTTACTATAATTTAAAAGACTATGATTACTTTCAGGAGTGAAAATAAGATATTCACTTAATCCAAAATGGATCCCAAAGATATTTCAGACATCCCTCCCCAAATTTCCTATGAAATACCGGCACTCACATTTGTAGTAGCTACCACTTTAAATGGTACTGCATGTAAGATTCCAGCAATTCTAACATAACACTCAGAAATTTTGTATGTTTTACAAGTGCAGTGCATAGCAAAGACTATAACAGTACAAAATGAACTGGTTAACTGGGCCAATTCAATTTGTCTTAATTTCCTTGAAAAAAATTAAGATTTTGATTCTATACAATGTTGGGGAATATGGGAAGAAAAATCCATAGTGCAATTGCAGTAAGCAAAGTAATATGTAGTAAGTGATATCTTTCAGAATAAATATGGCTCACTACTGATCAACTATCATTCATACAGTTTCAACAACACAGCCAGCTGTTGCACAGGACAATTATACACAATTCTACAACAGGTAGTATGTTCAAATAGATAACGAACTACATGGAAAAATATAAAAAGAATATGATACAATCCCATACATAAACCAGAATGTAGTGTAACTGCTTTACATGTTCGTTACAAATAATTATCTGAATACTTCAAGTACTTGAAAACAGCGGCAGAATCATCATTCAATGAAAAGCAAATTGCATTGATTTAAAAACAATACATTACAAAGTTAAATACACATTCAAATTAATGTCCTGATTTAACATTGCTTTCAGTGTTTATTTTAAATCTTAGTATTTCTTGATTACCTGTATTTCACTCCAGCAGATCCACATAAGTTTTAGACAGAGTTTATCAGACATTAGTCCAGAGTGGGTACGTACCACATGTGTAATTCCAGTGAGGAAACTTTAACTCATCTAATCTTTTTCTCCATCTTCACTGCTTCCTATTAGGAGAGGAAAAGTCAGAAGACATAGGTAAGATACTTGCACATTTTCTTTATTATTTAAAAATATACTAAGGATTTCTGTACAAGTCTTCCCTTAATTCTTAGCTAGACTTTTCCTAGAACGTGATATTCTGGTTCACTTTCTAAAGTACTGGTTAAAATTTCCCTTTTTTTTTTAAACTTTCAGCTACTCCAATGTTAAACATGTGGCACACACATACATAGGGACATCTGCTTAAATCACACAGTTCAATGTCACTGTTTAGGTCACATGAGAAAGTGATGTATGATCTCAAACATCTCTTATCAATAAATGACTAAGCAGCAAATATAATACAATGCAAATACAATTAATATTGATTTATTTTTTATAAAAACTGAGAACCAGGGAACCTCAGTGGCTAATATTTATTTTTAATCTCTTGATAAAATATTGTATTTATAATGATACTTTGAAATTATTTCCGAGTCTGTCCCTATTCTTATTCTATCGTTTTTTCTGAGGCATTTTGGTACTAAAATGTACAGAGGAGCACTTTAGTAGAGGCAGGAATATAAAGGAAACTGCTCAGTACAGAAATATCATCAGTACCTTAACATTACTGTATATGGGTCTACTGCTAAACCCTCCTTTAAGAAGGAAATCCCCTACCCACAACAGATCAAGCTCTAAAAACATGTTGCAATCCCTAGCAGAGTCTCAGGGATATACTTCCTACAAGAAACTAGATTATAAAACAGATGTCGGTACTACAATAGTCTAATACTGCTCTTAAAGGTTCTTAACTAGTGAAATAAAAACAAAAATCAAATTATGGCCAGTGATGGGGCCATCGTAGAAAGATTCTCAAATACTTTAGAAGCTATACGTTTTTGCTCTTTATGGGGGAGCATGGTTTCTTCCAAAGCTCCATAGAGTGGCCGCCAAGGTAGAAATCTTATTGTTTTTCCTAGAAGGGATAACTTAGTACTGTGCTTTGGGAACAAACCCAGAATTTTGGCAGTGCTTGTGCACAGGTTTTTCTGGAGACCATTTAGCAATAAAAACAAAATTATTTTGATCTAAAATGTTTTGAGCCCAGTATGAGAACTATTAATAAATGACTTGTTTAAACAGGAAAATCATTTAAGATCTTATTAGCAAGGAAGAAGTTATTTGGATTTACCAATACAGTAAACACACAAATACAGGCCCCAACCCCAAGATTTATATTCAGTTCACTGACAGTATTTGCATTATTTACATCTCTGCATTGTATTTTAATGTAACACTTGTTTAACAGGCTATTAAGAATAGGTCTTACTTAAAAGCCAAAATATTACAAAAGTCATCATAATGTACACTGTTTACTTGAAAGAAACCTAAATCTACTTACCTCCTTGCTCAATATCTGAATCTGTAACATGTGTGAGAGAAAAACTTGCAATGTTTGCAGGAGAGATAGAGAACCTGGAATAAGGTGATGAATGTGACCAGTTTTGTTCAAGACTCCGGGAAGGTGGAGGTGGAGAAAAGTACTTTGAAGTCTGAAGAGCTGGCTTAGAACTAATGAGGTTATTCGCTGACTTAGCTATAAAAGAGGGTTCTGGAGAAGAGAAATCATCATCCCATTCAAAACCTCCACCTACAATAAACAATCATAATTGATAAGGATATACATAATTTAAGATAGTGTAAAGTAATCAGTTTAAAAAGCAAGCAATGAAAAAATGTATTGGATTTGAGGAGTACAACTTGGTATATCACATTTCAGCTCCATAAAAACAACCGCTAGTTAGAAAATACGATTTCATTTAAAAGTTCTAGATCTTAGGGAATCATTGGGGCTACAAATGAATGCTGAAGGAAATCTGAAGTTACTAGCTTTCTGGTGGTAGAATGTACAGGTCACAGAATAAGGGGCCTTAAAATCCCAACATTTTCTTTCTACCATGTCAATTCCAATCGTATGTTAGTGAAAGTTACTGAGAATTGCTATAGGAAAATATTGCTTGCTATCTGAGAGAAGCTAGGGGAACTCATTTTCAAAGTAATAAAGCATTAAATTGCTAACTCATGGCTTTGAGATATATGCCAATATTATTGAGGAAAATTAAATGGAATGGGAACGCAAGGTAGGAATTCTGATTTTTAAAGATTATTCTTTATTAAAAATCATTAATTATGTTATGTTCTCTATGGTAAATCTTGTGGACCTATTCAGAAGTTTCCAAAATTATGTTTTTTGATATCTCCAGGTCTCTCTATCATAGTGAAGCAACAGACTCCCATGCTATCATCATGAAAAGTTTGTTTCCATGGCCAAGAGGAGCTACAACCGCCCAGTGAAATTAAGTGGAGAAAATATTACTTAAGAAAAAAAGACAAAGTTTTATTTTCTCCTCTTGCTTCATCAGGCCATTGAAACTCCTTTGGTATGGCAGCAGGAACTCCCTTCAAACAGCTTCTCTGGCTTCACCAGGAGAGGGAGCCACTGTGAAGACACATTTTTAATTTTTAAGGAAGCATGAAGGTTTACAAATTTACAAGGAAAGAATAGTTGGAAAGTTAATCAACTGGATGACATTTATGGTTTTAAACAGCTACAACAGGTCAACAGGAACAGGAATACTCTGCAGGGCCAGTAAAGTTTTCAAGGCCCTAGTATGTGTCAGCGTAAAATGTTTGAGCCCTGCTAAAGAGTATCTTATAAAATTGAGACACTGAAGGCAGTGTTGTATGGCATATTTATGAAGATTTATTATATTCCGTAAAAACCCATTTACATTGCTACCAAAGGACCCAGAACTAGGTTTTGTTTAAAATATACTGTTTTGTTAACCAGAAGTACCTTCTTCATCAGTAGAGCTTTCTGAATTTGTAAATCTATTCAAGTAACTGAGACCTGAAGATAGGACAGGAGTGCTAGCAGAGCCTTGGTTGTTTGATTCTGTTGCACGGTTTCCCAGCTCTTTGGTTGGTGTTTCCTAAGACAACCAAAAAAAAAATTTAGTTCAATTCCATTACTGTACATGTGATAAATATATATACAAATATACCCAGATGTCAGGGGTTCCAAAATCATGTCGTTATTTCCCAAACCCACTTAGACTGTACAGTCGCTCTTCAACCAAGATCACAGCCAAAATCCCATTTATATTTTATATATGTATTTGAATTGAAATATTATACATCGTAATCCATAGTAAAGTTGCACGGATGAACACTACAATGTGTGCAGGAAGTGTGAATTTTTAAACTGTCCCTCCCCCCTACTGTCCTCTACTTAGAGAGGGTCCTTAAAAAAGGCATATAGCAATGAAGTGTAAGACTTCTAGACTGACCATTGTTGTCTTCTCTGCATGAAACCATTTAGTTAACTATTTTTCATTTTCAAAATCCATCTTTCAGTTCCACCCACCACCATTCCAGTTCTATCCTTTAATAATACTTCAGGGTAAGGAAAGTAATTAGAAGTTTAGTAGGCATGGTATATGAAAAAGCTACTAACATGTAATCAGTTAGTGAAACTGAGAAATAAGAGACCAAATATTGGTAGAGATATAGTTCTAAGGTAGCAGGTGTTTTTCCTCTAACAAAAGGATTGCTATTTCTTTTATGGCAGAGGCCACAGAGCAAAAAAGAGTCACCTCTATTTTTTTACTCCAATATGCAATAGCCCTTTTAATATTTTTTATCCACTTCTTCACAAGCAACATTTCCAAGGCTTGACAGTAGGTCTCTATTCATTTAAAATTACCACGCTACTCTGGGTTGCCATAAGATTAAAAAAACACAGCTTGTTATTGTATGAAGTGAATAAGGAAACAAATGTAACCTTGGTTTTATTAAGTAGGTCAAGCATTTATATTGTATTTGTACTGGATTAACTTGAAGAATCACATGTATCAGATTAAGAAAAAGAAGAAAATAATATTCAATTCAAATACTGAACTACTCTACTGTGACCACATGTAATCATTTAGTTTAGGCTCATTAGATACATGTATATCACCACCCTGGATAGCTGAAATGCAGGGAACAGCTAGTCTGAAATAGTAAATGAAGATACTTGAATTGGAAGTATATTAGAATTCAAATCCTTAAACCAGTTAAATATAAAAATGGCAATATTTCTACCATCAGTGTAAGAACAGTCCTGACCTATAAAAATATTTGTGATATACATTAAAAAATAGCCCAGACAAATGAAGTGCTTGTAAAAGATGTCAAAATGACAGTCTTGAAGACCGTATTCTTCTATCCAGCACAGGTGTGGTTATTCAAGCTCTCTCATACTTTTCATGTAAAGCAAACTATATTTCACTTTATAAATACTAACTTGCACCAATGCACTGCACTGAACCTCGGAAAGAATCTCAAAAGGTCCTTGCCTAATGTGCATAAATGTTTATTAGTTTTTAATTAGATGAGTGGCTAAGTTTGTAAAGACTTGACAAGAGACTTGACAACAATAAAAAAATCTGCTGGTATATCATCTTGAATCTGGGCTTTAAAAGTTTGATCATGTCCTTTTTAAAAAAAAAAAAAATCAAAATTCTAAAATCAATGCTTAGTAATTAAGAGGTCAAGATACCTGATCAAACAGATAGACTGTGACATCATCAAAGAATGTTACTGCCTTTTTCTCACTTTTCCAGTACTCAGAGGGCCTGTCATGTTTAAGAGATTCTGGAAGTTTCAGCAGGCTTCTCAGATGTTTTCCATCATCTTTATCAGAAAGTATCACAGGCACCTGATGCACAGTTTCATCTTCACTGTCAGAGCTAAGACTACGCAAATGGAAAGTTCTCATATCATCCTCAGAATCATCACTGTTTTCATCTTCTTCATCTGCATCATCTCCATCCTCTGATGAATCAAGCATTCCAGAAACATCAAGTTTACCAAGGTATTTTCCTTCAATATCTGGCTCTTTCAGTTTAGGTCCTTCAATGTGGCACAAGGATTTTTCAGTATCAGTTGAACCTGAAGGACTGTGTATGTTATTAATAGACTTTAAGTCTCTGCATGGAAGAAATTCTGAAGTATTAGTGCCAACACAAGAGACATTTCTGCGAGATTCCTCATGTAGTTTAATTTCACCCCTATAGTTTTGTTCAGAATTCACTGCAAATATCGGAGTTTCTTTACTCCATTTGTCAGGACACACCTGCATCATTACATCTGTTTTCTGTATCCCCAACTTGTTATTTAATGCTAACTGTGTGTCTAAATTACTGGGGTCCTGGTAATTCTCTATTTGACTGTGCTTTGATTGTATATCTTCAAAACAATAATAGTCTTCAGTTTTATTCTCTTCTATGCTGGAAGAGGTTCTACAAGTATCTACTGTTAGTACTGTTGGTTCTGCTGATTTGTTTACAGTCTCTTCTGTTTTTTTGTCTGGCTCAGAATCATTATCAGAAAAATAGGCAGAGTCCCTGTAAGAGTTCTGATTTCCATTAGCAAAATTCTTTGTGGTTATTTCAAAGTTACTATTGCTATTTATTGAATCTGAGCAAGCTGTTTCTGCAGAAACAATGATTACTGGATTGGCTGGCAAATCACTAGCTTGCCTATCACCAACAACACATGGTGTAGTGTCTGTGTTAGACATATCATCAACAGTAAGATGTGAAGACCATTCTGGAGACTCCAGATTTTCAGTTTCATAGCCACTATCAGCAGGTTTATCAGGTGGCAAAAGTTTCTGGGGACTTTGGGCCCCTAAAGACTCTAATACCTCATTCACATCTAATGAATCCATAGAGTCTGGTGTTTTTATGGACTGTTCCATAGTCTGTGAGGGAGATGATGAGCTGTCTTCCAACAGATGATCTTGACTTGCATGGTCTGATGAAATGCCAGATATTAAAGTCACTTCTTTAGGAGTGTCGCTATATTTTTGAAGATGATTTGAAGTTTCATTGTTGTTCTCCAGTAAACCCCCATCATCCTGTTCTAATGCAGAACAAGTCTTCTGTAAATCATAGTTCATAGATTCCTTATTAGTATTTCCTTTCTCTACACCAAGGTTTCTCCCAAAAGTAATTTCATCATAATTAACAAGTGTTTCATTTTTTATTTGTCCCTCAGGCTCTTCAATTTCAAGTGTGACACCATAACATGAATCATTTCCAAAACTTTGATTTTTGGCATTACTGGATAGTATTTCAATGGAGGCATCTTCAATGCCTTGTTCCTTTCCTTGACAGAGACTATCATTAATACTGTGGGATGAGTTTTTATCCACTCCTACATATGAAAATTTATCACCGCCTTTCAGTATGGGGAGGTTCTGATATTTATCTTGTGACTTCTCATCTGTTACAAGTGAAGCAGAAGGAACCTGCGTTTCTGCAAGAGACTGAAGCAGAACACTCACATCTTCATCTGCAGGCACATGGACATGATCTTCTTTGTTCCCCGTTTTTAAATCATCATGCAATAAAGAAAAGTCTGGTGTATTTTTAGCCAGTTTTAGCTCGATGTCCAGAGAGTTCCTATTTGATGTTTCGAATATATTTTTAAAATCTGTTTTTTCTGATTTTGGCCTGATATCATCACTGCTATCTTTGTTGGTTAATATCCCCTTTAATAAATTCTTCTCTTGAAGAAACAGAAAGTTATCAGAGAGTTCTTCTACAGATAGCACGCTAAAATCAGACTCTCTCATATTTTCATATAAGGAAACAGCCTCATTTTCAGAAACATGACTAGAACTCTCCTTATCAAGATAACTGATTGCTTTTGATACCTCTAGACTTGAACTTAAAACTGTTGGCTTAAATTCTACATGAATATCATTTAGTTCAGTTAAGTCAAATATATTTCTGTTATTTGTCAATTCCTCTGCTCTGTCAATATCACTAAATATATTCTGGAAAGGGCTTTCAGGACCATTAGTAACATGCAAAGCCTCATCTTTAGGATCTCTGTTATAGTGGAAAAACTCCCCATCTGTGCTGGATTCTTCAGCATCAAGATCCCTGGGAACCATGAAAAGAGAATTTTTGTCCTGTACAATTTCTTGATGATCAACTTCTGTTGTTAGTACAGCTGACTGATTATCAAAATTCATGCTACTGCCCCCGTCTTTTTCTTCTAACTGAATATAGTAATCACTTCCAAGAGAACGTTTGTGAGCATCAAAAACAGGAAGCACCCCAGGTACATTAAGAGATGCTTCCTGACCACTTTCATCCTGTGCTCCAGACCGTTGCTCTGAAAGTGACCTTTCAAAAACCTCAACTGGAAAGAAAATGTTTGTATATGGCATTGCTTCATCAGGATTCACCTGACCGCATTCATCAAAATGATCATGTTTAGCTGCCTCCCAGATATATTCAAAGCTGAGTCCCTGACTTGTTTCAGTTACAGTGAGGACTTCTTCCATTTCCTGGCCAAGTCGATCTCCTGTGAAATGATCTAGGATTGGAAATGCAGAGTTATTTGATTCTCTATTGGAAGTGTTTGGCTTAAGAGCATTCCACTGCTGTTCAAAATCTATCTGAGAGTCCCTTTGGCTTTGCATGCGGAGATATGTTAAAAGTCTGTGTACTTCCTCTGCTGTTGGTCTCTTATCTGGAGGTAGCCAGCAGAACTGTAGAACTTCATACCTGTGAAGAAGAAAAGGATATTTTCAACAGTTACAATATACAAAAATAACTGCATTCCCCTTCCATTCACTGCATGGACAGGCTACACTTTTCAGTTCATTATTTTACATCAAGCAATTAAACTCAAGATGTTTCCTTTTGTATTAGTATATTTTGCAAAAATGCTTCCCTTATCTGTTGCAATTCCTTTTGCTTATTAGCTAGAATCACTTTTCCCAAAATATATGAATATGCAGCTCTTCTGACTTATTTTTGACAGTATAAAAATTACAATGTTTGAGAAACCTCGAACAGTTCAGAGTTTTTTTTAAAATAGAAAGAGTCTAAAAAGAAAATTACCATCTATCAGAATATGGCTGTTCCAGATGTGGCTTAGAGAGTTTAACGAGTTTCTCTTTTATGACCTGGATTAGAACTTCTCTGTCAGAAAAGTGTGAATAAGGCTGAGCAGCATTGTCAAAAAGCTCCCACAATGTTATACCCAGTGACCTGAAAAAGAGAAGTGACAGTTTTCTATTAAACAATTTTTTATTATTTGTATTGACATACTATATAGTAGCCCCTCTCTTGTGCTAGATGTGATACACACATGCCCATAAAAGATTAAAATCAAGACATGTTTTGTTTTAAATGATGCACATCAGAGCACCTAGACAACCCTACAGATGCCAGCTTTTGGCAAACCCTCCTCTACTCAAGAAGCATAAAACAGGTGTGTATATATGACAGCTCCAATTCAGCCTGTTGCTAACGCAAAAAAAATCAAAATCCTTAGCCTATGGAACATAAGAACCTTAAGAGAGTTCTACTATACGAATTATTTTTTATTTAATTTCTGTCCTGGTGAGGGTCAGCCTATCCCATTGCATTGCATTGAACAAATTTGTTTTAAGTGCAAAGTGCAGCATTTCTTGCTCAGCTGTGTAAAATAAATGTTATAAACAACGTCACAATGAGTTATGGCAGAAACACATACAGCGACACCTTAACCCTCATCCTATCTAAAATGTCTATTCAGAGCAACTTATCCCTTAAAATATGAGGAACTACCACCCTGGCCAACCTTGCCCTATCTCTGCAAAAAAAACCAGAAACGTTAAAATACCAGTAATATTAAGATCTGATGCTTACCTATAAAAAACAAAAACCACCACCCTGAAGTATCTACCATGTATGATGCATAGAATAGCCACCAGAGTTTCACTTGGGATGCTTAAAGTTTAACTGCATGGGCTCATAATAGCACAATGTCTTATCTGAGGATCTGGCATGTAAGATGAACAGATATTACAAACCGAGGCTTGGAGCCACTACTGTCACAGGCCACCTGCTTTCTGACTAGTGCAATAAGCAGGAAATCAACTTATTCTACTATTCAATGCATTTTATTCTACAGTCCAGGTACAATAGGAAATTAGGATTTTGGGTAAAATCTTGAAGAGCACTTAAGTGACTCAGGAGCCAATGTCCCTTTTTCAAAGTAATTCAGAAGCCTAAATATCACTGAAAGAAATGAGACTTTGAAGATAGAACTTAGGTGATTTTGAAAATTTTACCCATAGCCTAGATTCTTTGCAGACCATGCTTATTAACCCATGGCAACAACCAATGCAAATGGGAGCAAGTGAATGTATTTAACTTCACTTCTCTGAGATGAATGGTATAGTGTGGAACACAAATGTTAAAGCTGTACTGTAGTGTATTGTGCCAAGACCACATGTGACCCATGGATAATATTTTGGCCACCACTATCAAAACTTTTACATTATCAACGACAGTTACCTTAATGGCTGAATAATTTGCTGTTTCACTTCTTATTAACTGCTGGCAAATGTTTGCCTTGTATACAGCAAGTATTTCTTTTACAACTGAAATGTAAAAACCTGTTCTGCTAAATATATTTCCATAATTTTATTTTGATGTTATAACCACTTAACAGCAAATTTAGAATGTTATGTACAATTTCAAGCCAATAAAGATTAATCTGAAAAATTCCTACAAAATGAATGATAGCAGAATATTAAATCCAGCAAATCAAGCCAACAGTCAGTCCATTCAGTGCATTCTTTACAATGAAAATACATTGATTAATAATTGTGTATTTTATACTGAAAAATGTATGAACTCCAATTCTGTCAAATATTAAAAGTCTACTACATACCATATGTTACTATACTTGGTTTGCTCTGCTGCTAACAATCTGTCTTGAAAGCTTGTTACTAGCTCAGGTGCAATCCATCGAAGAGGAACAAACTTCTTCTCATCTGTCTCAACATAATCCTCCTAGTGATGACAAAAAGAAAACCAAAATAAAAGCTAATCCAAGGTTTATGCTTTCTAGGGGCTTCAAAGTTTGTTTTTTAATTTGTTTATATCCCGGATTTCTCTCATTAAAAGAGGTTTGTAGCCTCTTCCTTTCTTCTCAATATTTTCTTTCAGCAGAAGGGCAAGTAAATATTATCTGAAGGTCCTTAAATCTTTCTATAAAATGATTACACAGAGAATAAGTGATCTCAGCATCCTTCTCACCGTAAAAAATTAAGGTAATTTTCTATGCAGCATAGAGGTCCCTGTTGAACAAGAATATCTTCCACAAGTGTATATCAAAGTTCAATCAATTTGTATTGAGAGAACAGTTCTCAACATATTAAAAACATTTAGAAATAGTTTGGTAGCTAAAATACTTTGAAAATTGATTAAGAAAATGAATTTCAATTGACATTCCCTTCTCCCCCCTCTACCCAATTTGTTGAGTATAACAGTTTGAATTAATATGAAATATTATGAACACTTACATTTCAAACAATATTTTTAAAAATTGATCATGTTTTACCTTGAGTTTAATGCATATCTTGTTTAATAAAAGTTTAACTTCTACATCATCCCCTGCATTCTTTTATTTTAGGACTCTTGTAGGATGGGGCATACAAGCCTTGTTGACTCTTCCCCAACATATCGTGTTCATCTAGGTGTCTGATCATTCTGTTCTTTACTATAATTTCAAACAATTTACCTGCTACTGAAATCAGGCCTGTAATTGTAAAGATCACCTCAGGAGTCTTTTTTAAAAATTAGTGCTACATTAGCTTTTGTGACAGGGTCGGGCCAGATGGCTAGGAAAGTGATAGAAGGCAGGTATATTAGCCCCAGATTAAGCAGGTCCCTTTTCCCTGGGTAAGGTAACAGGGGCAGTTCCAGAACAATCAGGAACTTGCTGGAAGCAATTAAGGCAGGCAGGCTAATTAGGACACCTGGAGCCAATTAAGAAGCTGCTAGAATCAATTAAGACAGACAGGCTAATCAGGGCACCTGGTTTAAAAAGGACCTCATTTCAGTCAGTGAGGCAGCCCAAGGAGTGGGAAGTGAGAGGGCATGCTGCTGGAGGACTGAGGAGTACAAATGCTATCTGGCATCAGGAAGAAGGTCCTGTGGGGAGGATAAAGAAGGGGGAGGCGGCCATGGGGAAGTAGCCCAGGGAGTTGTAGCTGTCACACAGCTGTCACACGAAACACTGTAGACAGCTGTGATCCACAGGGCTCTGGGCTGGAACCCGAAGTAGAGGATGGGCCTGGGTTCCCCCCGTCCCCCATATTGGATATAGAGGAGTTGACCTGGAGTGTGGGTCCCACCAGAGGGGAAGTTCCCTGGTCTGTCCCCCGACTCATTAGGTGGATGAGCAGAGACTGTGGGGATTGTTCTCCTTTCTTTTCCCCATGCTGGCCAGTGATGAGGTTAGCTGAGTGAACAGCAGGTTTGAGCCACTAGCAAAAGTGGCCAAACTGAGGTCTGCTGTGAATCTCTGAGGGGAGCAAATCCGCCAATAAGTGCAGGACTCACAAAGGCAGAGGAGGAACTTTGTCACACGTTCTTCCAGTCATCTGGTACAGAGCTGATTTAAGCAATAGGTTACATACCACAGTTAGTTCTGCAATTTCATATCTGAGTTTCTTCAGAACTCTTGGATGAATACCATTTGGTCCTGGTGACTTATTACTGTTTAACTTATCAATTTGTTCCAAAGCCTCCTCTGCTGACACCTCAATCTGGGACAGTTCCTCAGATTTCTCACCTAAAAAGAATGGCTTAGGCATAGGAATCTTCCTCACATCCTCTGCAGTGAAGACCAATGCAAAGAATTCATTTAGCTTCTCTGCAATGGCCAGGTCTTTCTTGAGTGCTCATTAGTACCTAAGTCAGCCAGCAACCCCCACCGATTGTTTGGCAGTCTTCCTGCTTCTTATGTACTTAATTTTTTTGCTGTTAGTTCATGTCTTTTACTGGTTGCTTTTCACATTCTTTTTTTTGGCCTGCCTATCTATACATTTACACTTGACTTGCCAGAGTTTATGTTCCTTTCCATTTTCCTCAGTAGGATTTGACTTCCAATTTTTAAAGGATGCATTTTTGCCTCTAACCACCTCTTTTACTCTGCTTTTTAGCCATGGTGGCATTTTTCTGGTCTTCTTACTGGTTTTTTTTTTCTTTGTAATTGGGGTATACATTTAGTCTGTGCCTCTATTATGGTGTTTTAAATAGTTTTCATGCAGTTTGCAGGCATTTCACTCACGACTGCTCCTTTTAGTTACATTTAACTTCAAGGGGAACTACACAAAAATGAGGACGCTAGTGAAATGCTTCTTTGGTCTTTTCCCCCCCCCTTCAAGGATGTTACATTTGATTACATTGTGGTCATTATTACCAAGTGGTTCAGCTATATTTACCTTTGGACCAGATCCTGTGCTCCACTTAGGACTAAATTAAGACTTGCCTCTCCCCTTGTGGGTTCCAAGACTAACTGCTTTAAGAAGCAGTCATTAACGGTGTCTAGAAATTTTCTCTCTACATCCTGTCCTGAGGTGACACGTACCCAGTCAATATGGGGTTAGCGGAAATCCCCCATTATTACTGTTTTTTTTTGGTTTTGTAGCCTCATCTTCCTGTGCATTTCACAATCAGTTTCTTCATGTTAAGAACTCTTTATCCACTCATCAGTTCTCTAATAAGTGATGTCATTGTGTTAACATTCAGTTAAGTTTTATACATCCTGTACTTATATGAAAGCCAACTATCTAATTTGTAAAGCAACTGATCAAAATCATAACCCCATAAAAGCAGTCATCCCATAAAATACTGGTTTGTAACCTTAATGTGTTTAGTCCAAATACATTTGATATATTTAAATTTTAAGCTGCTCTGAATCTCTTTAAAATTGATTTAGGCAAAGAAAACAGATACATTGACTTACCTTGTATCTACTGAATCCTATTCCATAATCTCCTACTTTTACATTTAAATCAGATGTAAGAAAGCAATTCCTTAAGGCTAAATCACTGGAAAACAAAGAGTACAGTAATGAGAACAAACTAGACAAAAGGATATTCAATACAAGTTTGAGAGAAAAATCAATAACTTGACTAAGGTAATGAAATTAAATTTGGCATCAGAATACACCAGAGCTTAAAGACCAATTATGATGTTAAATGCACAAATCTACAGAAAATGCAATCACAAAAAGTAATTAAGTATATTTACATGCCCTTTTTCAGTACTATTCTTGTTTACATTTTCAATGCATTTCAGAAGCCACACAAGCCAACAAAAGATCACATTATGTTGCACTGGAACAGTGGAGATCATTTATGTTTCTGTCAATCATTCTTCTAGAGGTGTAAGTTTAACAACTGATGTACTAAGAAGCTATCCATCTCTCTTTATAATGAGTAGTTATTAATAGACTTATTGGACCAGATATACTTTTATGGTACATGGAGCTACAAATGACTCCTCCTTATGCCAGCCCACCTCACTATACCTCCCAGAGCATTCACCAAAGAAAAGGCAGATGGTGATATCCCCCAGTGAAAGCAATGCTAGTGCCTGCTAAGGACTCCTCCCAATGGAGGAGGCTGCAGAGGGGATACTCTCAATCAGAGCATTCTATAATCTGTCACTGACCAGGAACTAGCCCACTATGTACCTTATACACAGGGGAGGTTGTGGTTGAATTGTGCTGCCACAACCGGAATTTGTCGTTATGCCCTGTGCGTGAAGTTAAGGTATTAGAAGTCTGAGCAATCCTGAGATGAATTTATTTTCTTGTTTCTGTAATTCCAAAAGATGAATATTTTTTTTCCTCCAAGAAATTTTAAAGCCATTCTACCAAAAAAATTTTTTTTTAAATCTACCAGCCACATGGCTACTTTAAAGGTTCCCACAGTTACTGTTTTGGGGGGGGAGGGGGGAATCTATTAAATCACAGATGTGGGTCATTTTAAAGCATGCTCTTAAATGATAGCCCTTCACAGCATATTTTAGGTATCAGAATTATCTAAACACATTTGAATTGACAAATCTAGAGGAAAAAACGCAAGGTCATTTAAATCTCAGAATATTGGAAAGTGACAGCACACTGTGCCAAACTAAAAATAAATGCCAGGATTTCCAATAATGAATAATCAGTGTGGTTAAATAATCTAATAGTATGATAACTTTCTGACATGTGTTGCTGAAAATGACCGCTCCACTCCTTTAAGCAGGGAGACAGGGAATTTGGCTGGTGGAATGAAAGGAACAGTGCTTTAAGGCTGGGGTGCGGGACAAGAAGTCAAACTGCTGCAAAAGAGGACAAGGGACAACACTGACTCATCCCCTGGAATCCAGATGGGCGGAAGAGTTTAAAAGGGGCAGCCCATGCAGTGAAGCCCCCTTTTACACAGAGCAGGCTGAGGCAGCACCCATGCTCCTTCCCCTTTAGGTGCTGAAATACCAGGTTTGGTCTAGGCCTGCTGTGGGCATTGCAGTAGCTGCCCCTTTCTGGAGGGGCCGGGAAGGAATTTTCCCCTTACCACTAGATTGGCCTAGGTGGATTGGGGGGTTTTTCACCTTCCCCACAGTGAGTTTGGTAAGGGCTTTGCTGACATGTGCCATGAAGGGAGTTAGGCGATGTGTCACAACTCATTATATAAGTGGGGTGGATGTTCAGTGCAGGTACTCCATAGGGAAGGTATACAGTGACCAGAGAAATGGCTTGGTAAAGGACTTAAAAAGGTGGTGTTGATTAAAGGAATGGAACCAAGGGGAAGGGGCAGTTGGGGCTCCTATGATTGGTACATCAGGGAGCCAACTCCCCTTTCTTATTGCCCACCTTAACCCTCCTATGAGGGGAGTGGATGGTAAGGTCCCAGCAATGGATTGGCTAGGGCACCTGGATGGAAAAAGGGGTGGGATGAAGGGCGCCTGGCAGCACCCTCCCCCCCGAGGGAAGTTATGGAATAAACATGGTGTTACCCACGGTGCACACTTTTATCTGCCGGATAGTCCCAGACATCTAATAATAAAGTTGCGGCCTGATTAAAAAACATATCAAACGTCTCCTGTCTTTCTTTCAGTATAGCCGGACAATAAAAAGTAATGAACTCACTTTGTTGAGCATTATAAACAAAGTTCAAAATGCAGCAGTTACTACCCCCTTGCGGTCCGCTGTAATTATGCATGCTCTTAAAAAAACGCTCACCCTACACAAAGCTGTTTGTAATAATGTATGTTCAATCATTTTATGCCACTGACAAGTTGTGCATCATATGAGTCCTCAGTTCTTCTACCCTATCTAAAAGAACCCTCTTACTTACACACCTAACATTTCATTTCTGCCATAGTAACAGTTCCTGTCAAAACTGAAGATACAAATAATTTAGGTTTTAGATACTAGATATAAACATTTGAAATGGTTTTCAATAGAAGCACAAATTTGTTATACAAATAAGGAACTAATCAATGTTCTGCATAATGATTAAGTTGCACTTAAACTCCTGTTCATGTAAATTGAATTTAAAATATCCATAAAAAGGCAATTTATCAAGGAAAAAAAGTAGAGGTGCATAGAAGTTGTCTCACAAGAAACAAACTCAAAAGCTTAGAGAAACAGCAACACTACTCATATCCAGTTTCAATTATAAATTCATCACAGATACACACGATCAGTAAGGTAGCTATAGCTGCTCCAGCTAATGATAGTAAGTAAGTAGCAGTTGAAGAAAAAGACTCCACATAAAAATATTAGCATTTCATTTTTCACCTTTAAGCTGGGGGAACTTGTTCCCCTTTGACAATATCTTTAGCAAATGTCATCACTTGACAGACAACTTGTCAATGCATTTTAAGCATTTATATTTACACCCATAAAACAAGAAATTCCCATCTAATTTCAGGGAACTATAGCTGGAAAATAACCCTGGAAGAAAATATTAATATAATACAATTCTAGCTGCTTGAATTTACCACTAACAACAAAATCACTGATGCTGGAGCTTTACCACATACTCTAACAGCATCAGGATAGTGTTGCCAGAAATAAACATTTGCAATGACAGTCTTGCAGGTCCACAGGCAGTTATCTACCAAACTTAGCTACATTTTGCAAAAAAATATTGTTCATTTAATAATTGCAAACCATTGTTTCTTGTGTTACAGCACCATTGCTCATATTGGCAGTTAAGACTGGTGGTACTATTATAAATCATTATTCAAAACTGTTAAATACAGATTAAAATAAAAGCTTTCTACTTGTCAGGTAATCTTAGAGGATGTAAGAGCCATCATCTACTCATCCTCAGTTGAGGACTCTAGTTTTTATATTCCAGCCCCTGCTCTAAAACAAAACCTCTCTTATCCACTACTTTCCTTGGCTGAGGGAAGGGATGCGTTTTGGAGCTCATCAATACTATTCCTAACCTGCTGGAGGAATTGTAGCAGTGACATAGAAATCATAGAATATCAGGGTTGGAAGGGACCTCAGGAGGTCATCTAGTCCAACCCCCTGCTCAAAGCAGGACCAATCCCCAGACAGATTTTTGGCCCAGATCCCTAAATGGCCCCCTCAAGGGTTAAACTCACAACCCTGGGTTTAGCAGGCTAATGCTCAATGATACTCCCAGTTCCAAGGACAGAAATATTGAGCCCAGAAGTCAAACGTAATTCTCCTGCAACTTCATACAGTAGGTCAAGTCAGTTGTCCCCATTGCTGGGGCATCTTGGACACATCACCATCAAATTGGGATGAGATGCATGCCTTTGCTTCAATCTTCATTAAAAAAGTTAATTGTGAACAGATACTCAACTCACTATTAACAACAAGGGGGAAGGAACACAAGCTAGAACTGTGAAAGAACAGGTTAAGAATAGATAAGATATGTATTCAAGTCAGCAGGGCATGATGAAAGTCATCCTAGGATACTGAATGCAGTAACGGAAGCAATCTCAGAACTGTTAGCAATTATCTTCAAGAACTCATGGAGGATAGGTGAAAGTCCCAGCATACTGGAGAAAGGCAAACATAGTACCTATCTTTAAAAAGGGGAACAAAGAGGACCGAAGAAATTACAGACTAGTCAGCCTAACTTTGATACCTGGAAAGATACTGGAACATAACATTAAACAATCAATTTGTATGCGCCTAGGGTATAATAGAGTTATAAAGAATAAAGAGCATGGATTTATCAAGAACAAATTATGCCAAACCAACCTATTTCCTTCTTTGACAGGGTTACGGGCTTAATGGAGGGTGGAAGCTGTGAGGTGATATATCTTGATTTTAGTAAGGCTTTTGTCAGTCCTGCATGAGATTCTCATAAGCAAACTAGTGAAATATGGTCTAGATGAAATTACTACAAGGTGGGTGCACCAGTGGTTGAAAGACCATACTGAACAGTTATCAACAGTTCACTGTCAAACTGGGAAGACATTTCTAGTGGGGTCCCACAGGGGTCTATCCTGGGTCTGGTATTATTCAATATTTTCATTAATGGCTTGGATAATAGATAAAATTTGTGGATGACACCAAGCTGGGAACAGTCACAAGCTCTTTGGAGGGCAGGATTAGAATTCAAAACACCTTGACAAATTGGAAAATTAGTCTGAAATCAATAAGATGAAATTAAATAAAGACAAGTGCAAAGTACTACACTTAGGAAGGCAAAGATTAAATGCATAAAATACAAAATGGGGAATAACTAACTAGGCAGCAGCATTGCTGAAAAGAATCTGGGGGTTATAGTGGATCACAAATTGAATATGAGCTAATAAAATGCAGTTGTGAAAAAAGCTAATATTCTGGGGTGTTTTAACTGGAGTGTCATATGCAAGACATGGGACATAATTATTCCCTTTACTCAGTTTGAGTGGTGTGTCCAATTCTGGGCACCACACTTCAGGAAAGGTATGCACAAATTAGAGGGTGCTGAGGAGAGCAACAAAAATGATACAAGGTTTAGAAAACCTGACCTATGCAGAAAAGTGAAACGAGGCATGTTTAGTCTTGAGGAAAGAAGACTAT